AGGTAGAATAAGGGAAAAGAGAGAAGATTCCAACAGAAGTGAAAAAAACCCAAAAATGAAGGCGTTGTCATAGGTTCTGTATATGAGATCAGAAAAACACAACATTGAAAGTTACTACGAGGTAAACAAAATTCACTTTTAAGCAACAAGCTTAGAAATAACATCTTACAGACCCAGTCTATCTAGTATTGCAATATTTCTCAATTGTCATTATACCATTTTCATGATTTTTAAATATCATTGATATTTTTATTAAATTGAATTTTTTAAAAATTAGTTTTGTTCTGAACAATATTCCTTAAGTCACAGACGTGATGGGGTAACTATACTGTTTTCTAAGACATTATAGTACATAATGTAATAGTAAATAACATAGTACATAACTATTAATATTTAAAAAGTTTGAGTATCATCAAAAATCTTCTCACTTATGACAGTGGTACACATACCACACTTTGGGTTGTATAATAATAAAGTGTTGTGGCCGGGAGCGGTGGCTCACGCCTGTAATCCTAGTCACATGTCGTAACTGAGCACCTGAAATGCATTTTGTCCAACTTGACATTAATATGAAAATAGTGTATTAGTAAAAAATTAGAAAATAGAATATAAAATATACCATTGACTTTTATATTGAATATTAATTTTTTGATATATTGGATTAAATAAAATTATTTAAAAGAGTTTTACCTGTTTCATCTTTTTAAAGTGGCTATTAGAAAATCCAAAATTATGTATTTCTACTGGACAATGTTGCTTTAGACAAGGGCCACTGCACAGAGTTTGTCAGGCTGATATCTGCACAAGAGCATTTATAAAAGGACAAGAAGGGCCCGATCCTCCACTCACCAAGCCATGCATTCTGGAGGAGGCTGTGTCTGCTCAGGTGCAAAAAGCTGTTGCTTCAAAGGTGCCACCTCTTCACCAGTTTGAGCCCTGGGAGCTGTGTGTCCAGAGAGCATGTCTTTTTCTAATTTGCATCTAATTTGCATAAAGGTATAACTTGGCGACAGCCCCGAAATAGGTGACCATGCCTTAGTCATATTTTATCTGCCACATACTCGTTAACAAGCAGTTGAACAAATTAATTTTATTTTTAAGACAAGAGTCCTACTTATCCTCTTTATTTTATTTTATTATTTTTGAGATGCAATCTCACTCCGTCACCCAAGGCTGGAGTGCAGTGGTACAATCTCGGCTCAATGCAACCTCCACCTCCCTGGTTCATGCAATTCTCCTGCCTCAGCCTCTTGAGTAGCTGGGACTACAGGTGCACACCACCACACCTGGCTAATTTTTGTATTTTTAGTAGAGATGGGGTGTTTCACCATGTTGGCCAGGCTGGTCTTGAACTCCTGACCTCAAGCGATCTGCCCAGCTTGGTCTCCCAAAGTGCAGGAATTACAGGCATGAGCCACCACTTGGTCTACTTACCCTCTTTAGACACATCTCTTCTTATCATGCTATAACATATAACACTTTATCTGGTTAGAGAATATAGTTCTTGGCCAGGTGTGGTGGCTTACTCCTGTAATCCCGGCACTTTGGGAGGCCGAGGCAGGCGGATCACTTGAGGTCAAGAGTTCAAGACCAGCCAGCCCAACATGGTGAAACCCTGTCTCTACTAAAATACCAAAAAAAAAAATTAGCTGGGCATGATGGTGCCCACCTGTAATCTCAGCTACTCAGGAGGCTGAGGCAGGAGAATCACTTAAATCCAGGAGGCAGGGGCTGCAATGAGCCAAGATCACGCCACTGTATTCCAGCTTAGGTGACAGAACAAGACTCAGTCTAAAAAAAAAAAAAAAAAGAGAGACTATAGTTCTCACCAGGACTCACCACTAATCAAAATCATTGTTCAACTTCAAGATTCAAATTTTCATGTCTGTTTTCTAGCACCACATAAAATATTAATAATCACTGCATATTTCTTTTATAGCTTTGTATTTCCAGATAAGCACTGGACCATTCCATCACACTATGCAAATACTTATTAATGTGTTTACATTTTTGAAAGATCAGTATAAAAATAAATAATGTAACACCCAAGAATCTCTAATTTTTTCCAACCTACCTGATTGCATTTCTCTTCTTGTCTTAGAACACTTGATCCTGGGAGATTTCACGATTTCAGAGGTGCTCGAATCTAATATCCTTTGTTTTTCTTTGCGAGAAGAGTCTGTAATATGTTGAACAATGTTTTTTTTCTCTTTCATGCTTTTTTGTATAAATTCTTTGCTATCCTTCTTCAGACTTATGCTTGAATCTATCTTAGATTTACATGAGGTTTGCATTTTTTTAATTCCTTCAGAATTATCTAAATCAGTTTTATTTTCAGAACCCTTCTGATTAGCATTGGTTTTTTCCTTTTTCTCCTCAACTAGATTTTTTGAATCTACTTCTTTTTTAGTTGGGGGTTTTTTCTTCTTTATTTTCTTTTGATTCAATGCTTTGCTATCTTCATCAGAGAGATTGGAATCAGAATCTGAAAGGTCATAAAAACGTTTCAAATCTTCTGTAGTGCTATGGTTAATGGGGCGCCCTCTTTTATCCACAGTATAGTTCAACTTGAACTTCTTGTCATGAAACATAGCTCGAAATCTCTTGTCGATTTTGACTTTTCGATCCTTTTCTGGCATTTCCCAAAATCTCGGGTCCTTTGCAACCCGTCTAAACCGCTGGTCACTCATTATTTCTTGTTTGGATGACATTTTTAATTTTTAATCTTGCAGAAAAAATGCTTGAAGAAACCAAATACTAAAAAATAAAACAAATGTTTTAATGGTAATAATGGTTAGTACTATAATTAAATGTTTTAAAAATACATTAATTCACAATATATTCTAAGTTAAATGTACATAAAATAAAGGTAACTTAAGTCTAATTTCACATCTTCAACTTATTCTGGGTCACATGCAAAAAAACAGAAACATAACAAAATATCCTCTTTTCCATTATAGATCATTTAGAGAAATAAATTTCAAGGAAATAAAGCAGAATCCCAGGGTTTTATGGAGGGGAACAAATGTTTGTTCGTCCACTGTTCTCACTTGAATTTCTATCTGTATATCTCTATGTGTTACTAATTGAAAGCAAATGTAATTAAGATTCCCTAGTCCGTGCACGGTGGCTCATCAGTACTTTGGGAGGCCAAGGAGGGCGGATCACTTGAGCCCAGGAGTTCAAGACCAGCCTGGGTAACATGGTGAAACCCCATTTCTACAAGAAATACAAAAATGAGCCCGACTTGGTGGCACCGGCCCGTCGTCCCAGCTACTCTGGAGGCTGAGGCCAGAAGATCACTTCCACACAGGAGATCGTGGCTAAAGTGAGCTATAATGGTACCACAGCACTCCAGCCTGGGCAACAGAGTGAGACCCTGTCTACCAAAAAAAAAAAAAAAAAAAAAAAAAAAAAAGTAAATCAGATTCCCTAGCTTCAGTTGGCCTCATTTGTTTCTCCACATTCTGGTCTCATTCTGCTACTCCTTATCTCCTGCTACTGCCAACAAACAGCATTTAGTTCTATAAGACTAGCATCCTAACTAAACAGACCAAAATCAACTCAGGTATAGCTCACAATGTTCCGTCTCTAAATCCAATCATCCTTCAAAAGTAATAGAAAGTTTAGGCCGGGCACAGTGGCTCACGCCTGTAATCGCAGCACTTTGAGAGGCTGAGGCAGGCGGATCACGAGGTCAGTAGATGGAGACCATCCTGGCCAACATGGTGAAACCCCGTTTCTACTTAAACACAAAAAAATTAGACAACCTGGTGATGCGCGCCTGTAGTGCAGCTACACGGGAGGCTGAGGCAGGAGAATCGCTTGAACACGGGAGGTGGAGATTGCAGTGAACCAAGTTCACGCCACTGTATTCCAGCCTGGAGACAGAGCGAGACTCCGTCTCAAAACAAACAACAAAAAAGTTTAAAAATGAATAAAAAGTAAATTTGACTCTCCAGGTAAAGTCTCACTCCATAAATATCATTTCTTTCTACAATCTCTTATTCTACAAGTGATAAAGTCCCAAATGAGCTGATCCCCTCGAAACATATTAGAACATACACATATGTGTGTATAAATTCTGTTCCCTCGTGAATAGTCCCTAATGTTTTAGCATCTCTGGATGGGAGTTTTGCAAAGAGCCAAAATTCACTGATTAATGGCATACACACACAAAAATAGGATTAAGGGCCGGGCGCGGTGGCTCACGCCTGTAATCCCAGTACTTTGGGAGGCCGAGGCGGGTGGATCACGAGGTCAAGAGATCGAGACCATCCTGGTCAACGCGGTGAAACCCCGTCTCTACTAAAACTACAAAAAATTAGCTGGGCATGGTGGCGCGTGCCTGTAATCCCAGCTACTCAGGAGGCTGAGGCAGGAGAATTGCCTGAACCCGGCAGCCGGAGGTTGCGGTGAGCCGAGATCGCGCCATTGCACTCCAGCCTGGGTAACGAGAGCGAAACTCCGTCTCAAAAAAAAAAAAAAATAGGATTGATTAAAAGGGCGGTATTCCTTATTTTAAAAACAAGGCCTTTTATACACTAACCAGGAAAAACTGTATCCCCCCCTCCCCTTCTGAACGCTCTCTAATGCAGAGAATACAAGGCTGGCCCCTGAACGAGGGTCTCCTTCCCACAGCTAACAGACTGACTCGAGAAGCGACCCTGAAGAAAATCGATGAAATCTGAAGGAGGTCGAAAAGGCTCAGGAGGAAGGGGCAAAACCCCTCGCAGATGCGAAAGAGATCCTGTCAGAGACTAGTTCTCCCTTCGGGCCACACACACCCCTCCTCGAGCCCTACCATTCGAGCTCTTCAGCTGGAGCCCATCCCCACTCACCGTCCGGAGTCTTTTCCAAGCCTCAGGTGGGACTCGCACCCACAATCCTCCGCATGACGCTCTGCCGTAATGGCAAGCGAACTAGGCCAAACTACTTGCACGTTTCCTCTGCGAAGATCTTCGTAGAAGTCGCCGAGGCCGCTCTGGCGCATGCGCAGGACAAAAAGTGCTGGTAATTGGTATCGCGGCTGGAGATGCTGCGGCCCGCGAGTCTCTGGCACTTTTGTCGGCGACCTCGGTCTGCGAGGGTCCCAGCGGAGAACCTGGGCCGTAGGGAAGTCACCTCTGGGGTCTCTCCCCGGGGCGGCACATCGTCCAGAGTCCTGAATATCTTCGATCGAGATTTGAAAAGGAAACAGAAGAACTGGGCGGCCCAGCAGCCCGAAACGACGAAGTTTGACTACCTGAGGGAGGAGGTGAGCCCGCTGGGCAGCGGGGTTAGGGGGCGATCCCGATCCTCGTCTTCCTCTCCGCGAGCGATCCCGATCCTCGTCTTCCTCTCCGCGAGCTCTGGCTGGGCCCCGACCTCACCGTCTGACCTTGACCAGCAGCCCTGCCTCTCGGCCTCTACTGTAATCACGCAAGGCCTAGGCTCGGATATTTGTAACATGCTTTTCATGCATGCTTGCATTCATTTCAGCAACGTCCTTGAGGCCGAAAGGACCTTATAGAGGCCTCCAGAGAAGCTCCACAGAGGGAGAGGGTGGGAGAGGAGGTCAGGAGAGCCCAAATCATCAGGGCCTTGCAGGATAGGGCCTTGCAGGATAGGGACTTGGGGTTTTCTTCTCTATCTGCGCTGTCCAGCCAGTGTGGTAACTGCCGGCCACGCATGTGGCTGTTGAACACTTGAAAGGTGACTAGTCCGATTGAGATGTGTTGTAAGTGTAAAATACACACGAGTATAGTGACTTAGTATGAAAAAAAGGATGTAAAATAGCTCATTAAGAGCTATTATACTGATTACATGTTGCAATGATATTTTTGATATATTGGGTTAAATATAAATTTAAAATTAAATTTCTCTTATTTTTACTCCTTTCCTTATGTGGCTATTAGAAAATTTGAAATTACATGTGTGGCTCTCATGATTTTTTGTTAGCACTGCTCTAGAGAAATGTGAAGCTCTTGTTTTAATCGGTGGAGTGATCTGATTTATGTTTTAGGAATATCAAATTAAGGTCTCTGATTGTTCTTTGCTTGTTTGAGAAACCTCTTTCTCCCTGCCCAGGTGGGCCCCGTACTGAGAGTTTCTACTTTCAGGACATACATTCCCAAGTTCAGGCCTCAGTAAATGTTTATTCAGAAGTAGAACAAAACTGGAGTCAAGTATAACGCAACAAACACTTAATGAACTCCTAGCTTGAGCAGAGCTCTCTGCAAGTACGGGTCTGATCAGATGATTGACAGTTTGTTCTCAGGAAGTCTTATAGAAAGAGAGACTGGTAATGTCTATTATAGATCTAGGAAGTTTACTACCAATAAATTTTTTGTATCCCATTTGGAAGGCATGGTACACTTACTACACTGCTGTTGTCATGTACTTAGAAGATGTATGCTCGTAGCCCTTTCTCCTTCAAGAAAAGCACCTGGATTACAACTTAATTGAGGCCTAGCTGATTTGTGGGACTAGAACAAAAAAAGTATATGAGAGTTCAAAAAAAAATAAAACATAGGGCATTCATATTAGGGATGATGTACAAAGTGGACTTCTGGGAAAAAACACCTAATCTCCCTCCTCCCTTGCCCTTCTTCCAAAAAGCAAGTACACTTGTGTTTGAGAGTCCTAATAGCAACTCTGGGGCTGTTTGTGAGGGAATGAGTGGAATGTGGAGAATACTAGACTCCCACATCTTTATTGCTGCCAGATGAAGCCAGCCCAGCAAAAGGTGGTGCTTATCTTATGACTCTTAAATTGGGATGGGAATGGGGCCGGGGAGGTGCCCGTACCTCAGATTTGGCTTTTCTAACTTGTGAATGTCACTCAGAAAACTTGTTCATTTAGGAGTTCCACAAAATTTGTTAGTCATCAAATAGCAGCGTTTTTCTTAAGTGACCACTTATGTATTGATTTGCAATAAACCCCAAGTAACTCATTTTTCACTTTATATACCTCATGCTAATATCTGTGGACAATAATCTGCCTTTTGTGTTCTTTGCTTTTCGTTTTTGTAATCTTATGTCACATGGAATGTAAAGGCCACATATATATATGTGTATATAGGAATATTTTTAAGAATATTTACTCTTGATTTCATTAAATTGACTTCTGAAGTAATTTGCCTCAATTTTGTTTCCTGGTGATTTGAGAAGAAAGTTCCTGTGATGAAATTGAAAAGGGGATAAAGGGAAGTACTTATTTTAAAACATAAGTAACCTGTGGATTGTTGAATACTGGAAAAAGAGTATTACTTTCCTGTTAACCTATGCGTCTTGTAATCCTTCAGGTTGGAAGTCGAATTGCGGACCGTGTATATGACATACCCAGGTAAGTGGTGGTGATCATAATACCATAACATCAGCTTTTGAGTGGAAATTCAAGAGGTTAAATGCCGGGAACTTGATACCTGAAATGGCAGAATCTGGAAGAATTTTCTGTGACTGGTGATTTAAATCACTCTGTAAGTCTCCTTTTTGTGTCTGGAGAGCAGATGTTTTCTTCATTGTTGCCTGAAAAAAGAAAAGAATGTATGGAAGCACAACTCGTATCTCTTTCCAAGCCTGAATCGACTTGATTTGGCCAAAAGCCAGTAATAGAAAGATTGCTGTAAAACTTGAGATACTTAACAACATGCGAATTTTTAATATTTACCTTCTAGTTCCAAAGCCTCTGTGCCTAACTGTGCCATATTGCCTGTGTTCATCATCAAGCATTAGGACATTAGGTAAATAAGGTTATCTACCACTAGGGACTCTCCAGCTATGTACTAGTGTTCTATAATTTTGACAAAGCTTTTTTAAAACAAATTGCAAAGGGGCTCTTTCTGTTCCAGTTTTTCAGGAAGAATATTATTAGTAGATAAAATTTTAAGTTTTCTTGTTATGTGTTTTTTTGAACCTATGGCCTACAATTAGATGTCTGTACCAGTGTAGCAGAACGAAGTATATTTAGAGGAGACAGCATGGCATGGAGGATGGCAGTTCCAGTTCAGGATTCAAACTGACTGAATTCAAGTGTTGACTGCTCCTTATTAGTTGAGTTTGACTTACTTAGCTTCAGACACTTAGCACAGTACTTTGAACCTGGTACCTTTTCAATAAAAGTTTAACTGTTATGTAAGTTCTTCTTTTAGTTTAACATTAATACCTAATGGTATTTCCCATGATGATTTCTAAGTGTTCCACTGCTTCAACAAGTCTGAGAAATAGGCTCTGGTATATATAACTTGTAAGGTGAGGCCAAAAAGGCAGATAATGTAACCTTCTGGAAGTTGTGTTTACTGAAATGATTTTACTAAAGAAAAAATAATTCTTAATTTATAGACTGTATTATGGACAGAGCATAACTTCTGTGTCTTTTTTTTTTTTTTTAAGAGATTTCCCCCTTGCTTTGGATCTTGGTTGTGGAAGAGGTTACATTGCACAATATTTGAATAAGGTATATTTATTCAATGACTTAATTTGCTTTGAAAAGTAAAATTGGTTAATTTTAAAGAAAGACTTTCCTAATTAGCTTGCAACATGTTTAGATTGAATTATATCAGAATTGTTCATTTGTTTTTTATTAAGTGGTAAAACCAATGGTGGTTTTCTCCCCTCTTTAGAATTTTTTTCTTTTTTTTTTTTCCCCATTTATTTATTTTATTGCATTTTAGGTTTTGGGGTACATGTAAAGAACATGCAAAACTGTTGCATAGGTACACATGTGGCAGTGTGATTTGCTGCCTTCCTCCCCATCACCTACATGTGGCATTTCTCCCCTTGCTATCTCTCCCCAGCTCCCCACCCCCCACCGCCCCTCCCCTATTTCCCCCCAACTGACCCCAGTGTGTAGTGCTCCCCTCCCTGTGTCCATGTATTCTCATTGTTCAACACCCGCCTATGAGTGAGAACATGCAGTGTTTGATCTTCTGCTCTTCTGTCAGTTTGCTGAGAATGATGGTTTCCAGGTTCATCCATGTCCCTACAAAGGACCCAAACTCATCGTTTTTGATGGTTGCATAATATTCCATGGTGTATATGTGCCACATTTTCCCTATCCAGTCTATCGTCGATGGGCATTTGGGTTGGTTCCAGGTCTTTGCTATTGTAAACAGTGCTGCAATGAACATTCGTGTGCACGTGTCCTTATAGTAGAACGATTTGTAATCCCTTGGATACGTACCCAGTAATGGGATTGCTGGGTCAAATGGAATTTCTATTTCTAGGTCCTTGAGGAATCGCCACACTGTCTTCCACAATGGTTGAACTAATTTACACTCCCACCAACAGTGCAAAAGTGTTCCTATTTCTCCACATCCTCTCCAGCATCTGTTGTCTCCAGATTTTTTAATGATCGCCATTCTAACTGGCGGGAGATGGTATCTCAATGTAGTTTTGATTTGCATTTCTCTGATGACCAGTGATGATGAGCATTTTTTCATATATTTGTTGGCCTCATGTATGTCTTCTTTTGAGAAGTGTCTGTTCATATCCTTTGCCCACTTTTGAATGGGCTTGTTAGTTTTTTTCTTGTAAATCTGTTTTAGTTCTTTGTAAATTCTGGATATCAGCCCTTTGTCAGATGGGTAAACTGCAAAAATTTTTTCCCAATCTGTTGGTTGCCGATTCACTGTAATGACTGTTTCTTTTGCTGTGCAGAAGCTGTGGAGTTTGATTAGGTCCCATTTGTCTGTTTTGGCTTTTGTTGTCAATGCTTTTGGTGTTTTGGTCATGAAGTTCTTGCCTACGCCTATGTCCTGAATGGTTTTGCCTAGATTTTCTTCTAGGGTTTTTATGGTGTTAGGTCTTATGTTTAAGTCTTTAATCCATCTGGAGTTAATTTTAGTGTAAGGTGTCAGGAAGGGGCCCAGTTTCTGCTTTCTGCACATGGCTAGCCAGCTTTCCCAACACCATTTATTGAACAGGGAATCCTTTCCCTATTGCTTGTTTTTGTCTGGTTTGTTAAAGATCAGATGGTTGTAGATATGTTGTGTTGCCTCCGAGACCTCTGTTCTGTTCCATTGGTCTATATCTCTGTTTTGGTACCAGTACCATGCTGTTTTGATTATTGTAGCCTTGTAGTATAGTTTGAAGTCTGGTAGTGTGATGCCTCCTGCTTTGTTCCTTTTGCTTAGAATGGACTTGGCTATGCGGGCCCTCTTTTGGTTCCATATGAAGTTTAAGGTGGTTTTTTCCAGTTCTGTGAAAAAGGTCATTAGTAGCTTGATGGGGATAGCATTGAATCTTTAAATTACTTTGGGCAGTATGGCCATTTTCACGATATTGATTCTTCCTAACCATGAACATGGAATGCTTCTCCATCTGTTTGTGTCCTCTCTTATTTCGTTGAGCAGTGGCTTGCAGTTCTCCTTGAAGAGGTCCTTTACGTTCCTTGTTTGTTGTATTCCTAGGTATTTTATTCTCTTTGTGGCAATTGTGAATGGAAGTTTGTTCTTGATTTGGCTCTCTTTAAGTCTGTTATTGGTGTATAGGAATGCATGTGATTTTTGCACATTGATTTTGTATCCTGAGACTTTGCTGAACTTGCTTATCAGTTTCAGGAGATTTGGGGCTGAGATGATGGGGTCTTCTAGATATACAATCATGTCGTCTGCAGATAGAGACAATTTGACTTCCTCCTTTCCTATTTGGATGCCCTTTATTTCTTTTTCTTGCCTGATTGCTCTGGCTAGAACTTCTAATACTATATTGAATAGCAGTGGTGAGAGAGGGCATCCTTGTCTGGTACCACATTTCAAGGGGAATGCTTCCAGTTTTTGCCCATTCAGTATGATATTGGCTGTTGGTTTGTCATAAATAGCTTTTATTATTTTGAGATACGTTCCATCAATACCTAGCTTATTGAGGGTTTTTAGCATAAAGGGCTGTTGAATTTTGTCAAAGGCCTTCTCTGCATCAATTGAGATAATCATGTGGTTTTTGTCTTTGGTTCTGTTTATGTGGTGAATTACGTTTATAGACTTGCGTATGTTGAACCAGCCTTGCATCCCCGGGATGAAGCCTACTTGATCATGGTGGATAAGCTTTTTGATGTGCTGTTGCAATCGGCTTGTCAGTATTTTATTGAAGATTTTTACATCTATGTTCATCATGAATATTGGCCTGAAGTTTTCTTTTCTTGTTGAGTCTCTGCCGGGTTTTGGAATCAGGATGATGTTGGTCTCATAAAATGATTTGGGAAGAATTCCTTCTTTTTGTATTGTTTGGAATAGTTTCAGAAGGAATGGTACCAGCTCCTCTTTGTATGTCTGGTAGAATTTGGCTGTGAACCCGTCTGGACATGGGCTCTTTTTGGGTGGTAAGCTCTTAATTGCTGCCTCAACCTCAGACCTTGTTATGGGTCTGTTCAGGGTTTCGGCTTCTTCCTAGTTTAGGCTTGGGAGGAGGCAAGTGTCCAGGAATTTATCCATTTCTTCCAGGTTTATTAGTTTATGTGCATAGCGTTATTTATAATAATCTCTGATGATGGTTTGAATTTCTGTGGAATCTGTGGTGATATCCCCTTTATCGTTTTTTATTGCATCAATTTGGTTATTCTCTCTTTTCTTTTTTATTAATCTGGCTAGTGGTCTGTCTATTTTGTTGATCTTTTCAAAAAACCAGCTCCTGGATTTATTGATTTTTTTGAAGGGTTTTTTATGTCTCTATCTCCTTCAGTTCTGCTCTGATCTTAGCTATTTCTTGTCTTCTGCTAGGCTTTGAGTTTTTTTTATCTTGCTCCTCTAGCTCTTTCAGTTTTGACGATAGGGTGTCAATTTTTGATCTCTCCTTGCTTCTCATGTGGGCACTTATTGCTACATATTTTCCTCTAGAGACTGCTTTAAATGTGTCCCAGAGATTCTGGTATGTTGTGTCTTCATTCTCGTTGGTTTCAAAGAACATCTTTATTTCTGCCTTCATTTCATTGTTTATCCAGTCAACATTCAAGAGCAAGTTGTTCAGTTTCCATGAAGCTGTGCGGTTCTGGGTTAGTTTTTGAATTCTGAGTTCTAACTTGAGTGCACTGTGGTCTGAGAGACTGTTACGATTTCCATTCTATTGCATTTGCTGAGGAGTGATTTACTCCCAATTATGTGGTCAATTTTAGAGTAGGTGTGATGTGGTGCTGAGAAGAATGTGTATTCTGTGGATTTGGGGTGGAGAGTTCTGTAAATGTCTATTAGGTTTGCTTGGTCCAGGTCTGAGTTCAAGTCCTGGATATCCTTGTTAATTTTCTGTCTGGTTGATCTGTCTAATAATGACAATAGGGTGTTAAAGTCTCCCACTATTATTGTGTGGGAGTCTAAGTCTCTTTGTAAGTCATTAAGAACTTGCCTTATATATCTGGGTGCTCCTGTATTGGGTGCGTATATATTTAGGATCGTTAGCTCTTCTTGTTGCATTGATCCTTTTAGCATTATGTAATGTCCTTCTTTGTCTCTTATGATCTTTGTTGCTTTAAAGCCTAATCTATCAGAGGTGAGAATTGCAACTCCTGCTTTTTTTTGCTCTCCATTTGCTTGGTAAATCTTCCTCCATCCCTTTATTTTGAGCCTTTGTGCATCCTTGCATGTGAGATGGGTTTCCTGGATACAGCACACCGATGGGTTTTGGCTTTTTATCCAATTTGCCAGTCTGTGTCTTTTGATTGGGGCATTTAGTCCATTTACATTTAGGGTTAATATTGTTATGTGCGAATTTGATACTGCCATTTTGGTGCCAGCTGGGTGTTTTGCCCTTTAGTTGAGCTGGTACTTGTTGTTCCTTTATATGTGTAGAGCCTCTTTCAGGAGCTCTTGTAGAGCTGGCCTGGTGGTGACGAAATCTCTGAGTACTTGCATGTTCCCAAAGGATTTTATTTTTCCTTCACTTATGAAGCTTAGTTTGGCTGGATAAGAGATTCTGGGTTGAAAGTTCTTTTCTTTAAGGATGTTGAATATTGGGCCCCACTCTCTTCTGGCTTGTAGGGTTTCTGCTGAGAGATCTGCTGTGAGTCTGATGGGCTTCCCTTTGTGGGTAACCCGACCTTTCTCTCTGGCTGCCCTTAGTATTTTCTCCTTCATTTCAACCCTGGTGAATCTGACGATTATGTGCCTTGGGGTTGCTCTTCTTGACAAATATCTTTGTGGTGTTCTCTGTATTTCCTGGACTTGAATGTTTGCCTGCCTTGCTAGGTTGGGGAAGTTTTCCTGGATAATATCCTGAAGAGTATTTTCCAGCTTGGAGTCATTCTCTTCGTCGCATTCAGGTACGCCTATCAAACGTAGATTAGGTCTTTTCACATAGTCCCACATTTCTTGGAGACTTTGTTCATTCTTTTTTACCCTTTTTTCTCCAGTCTTGCCTTCCCGTTTTATTTCATTGAGTTGATCTTCGACCTCTGATATCCTTTCTTCTGCTTGGTCAATTCGGCTGTTGATACTTGTGCATGCTTCACGAAGTTCTCGTGTTGCGTTT